AATTGGAGGCCACTATCCTAAGTGAAGTATCTCAGGAACTAAAAAATAAATGCCACATGTTCTCACTTATAAGTGGGAACTAAACTATGGCTACACGAAGGTATATAGAGTGATATAGTGGGCACTGCAGACAAGGGGGAAGGGTAGGAGAGGGTGAATGATGAAAAATTATGGGGAACAATTTACACTACTTGGGTAATGGGTACACCAAAAGCCCAGACTTCACCACTATACAATATAAACGAGTAATAGAATTCATTTAGGGTACACCCCCCTAAGTCTATTAAATTAAAAAAAACATATCACCCACACCAATGTCACTGAGCTTTTCTCCTGGGTTTTCTTCTAGGAGTTTTAGTTTTAAGTCTTACCTTTAAGTCTTTAATGCATCTTGAATTGACTTTTTTTATGGTATTAAATTCATTCCTCTGCATGTAGATATCCATTTTTCCCTGCACCATTTGTTGAAAAGACTATTCCTTTCTCATTGTGTATTCCTGGCACCCTTCTCAAAGATCAGTTGATCATATTTGCATAGTTTTATTTCTGGGATCTCAATTCTGTTACACTGGTCTACATATCTGTTTTTAATGCCAGTCCACACTGTTTTAATTACTATATCTTTGTAATATATTTTGAAATCAGAAAGTATGATACCTCTAGCTTTGTTCTTTCTCAAGATTTTTTTGGCTATTTTAGAATCTTTGTGGTACCATATAAATTTTAGGATTGTATTTTCTACTTCTTTGAAAAATGCCATTAGAATTTTGATAGAGATCACACTGAATCTTTAGATTGCTTTGGGTAGTATGAACATTTTAACAATATTAAATCTTCAAATCCATGAACACAGGATATCCTTCCCTTTATTTTTTCTTCCTTAATTTCATTATCAATGTTTTTTAGTTCTCAGTGTGCAAGTCTTTCACCCTCTTTGTTAAGTTTATTCCTAATTATTTTATTCTTTTTGATGTTATAATAAATGAGAATTACTTCCTTTTTTTTTTTAGACAGAGTCTCACTTTGTTGCCCAGGCTAGAGTGAGTGCTGTGGCATCAGCCTAGCTCACAGCAACCTCAAACTCCTGGGCTCAAGCAATCCTGCTGCCTCAGCCTCCCGAGTAGCTGGGACTACAGGCATGCACCACCATGCCTGGCTAACTTTTTCTATATATATATTAGTTGGCCAATTAATTTCTTTTCTATTTATAGTAGAGACAGGGTCTCGCTTTTGCTCAGGCTGGTTTCGTACTCCTGACCTCAAGCAATCCACCTCCCTCGGCCTCCCAGAGTGCTAGGATTACAGATGACAATTACTTCTTGATTTCTTTTTTTGGATAGTTCATTGTTAGTGTATAGAAATGCAACTAATTTTTGTATTTTGATTTTGCATCTTGCAACATTACTGAATTCATTTATTGGTTCTAACAGGATTTTTTTGTGTGGAGTCTTTAGGATTGTCTACATATTAAATCATATCATTCATAAACAAAGAAATTTTTACTTCTTCCTTTTTGATTTTTATTTGGATGCCTTTTATTTCTTTTTCTCACCTAATTGCTAAGTAGACTTCTATGTTGTTCTTGCCACTATGTTCAATAGAAGTGGCAAGAGTGAGCATCCTTGCCTTATTCCTGATCTTAGAGGCAAAGTGTTCAGTTTTTCACTGTTGAGTAAGACATTTATTGTGGGCTTTTCATATATGGCTTTTATCTATTTCTAGTTTGTTGAAGGCATTTATCCTGAAAGAGTGTTGAATTTTTTCAAATGTTTTTTCTACATCTATTGGTATAATTATTTGGTTTTTAACCTTCATATTGTTAATGTGGTATATCACATTAATTCTTTAAATGTAAATGGATTAAACTCCACAATCAAAAGACATAAAGTAGCTGAATAGACACAAAAACAAGGTCCAAGTATATTCTATGTAAAAGAGACTCACTTTAGATTTAAGGATATAGGTAGCTTGAAGGTGAAAGGAAGGAAAATGATATTTCATGCAAATAGAAACCAAAAAATAGCAGGGGTGGTTATACTTATATTAAAAAAATAGACTTTAAGTTAAGAACTGTAAAAAGATACAAAGAATGTCATTATATATGATAAAGGATCAATACATGAAAAGGACATAACAATTATAAATATATATGTAACCAAATTTTGGATAAGTGAAAAAAGTAAAAGAAAAACAAAGGTAAGTACCAATGAACAAGAGAGGTTACCCTCCCTTCTTCCCTACGATTTCACTATGATTATCCTACATCTAAAATTTGAATGTTTTAGGTAGAGAGTAAGCTAAAGAGGCAATAGCTCTGCTAGGGTGGTAGATTCCCAGAAGTTAGCAATGGATATATCAAAAGCCTGACGTAGCCACATAAATAGAAGTAGAGAAGAAAGATGATTAACCTGTGGCAAAAGTCTTAACAGTAAATCTTTATTTCACACTTGCAGAATCTAAGACTTTAAAAATATATTATTATGTATTTTAAAGTACAATATTATACTGTAATTTGCTTTCTTAGTGGATTTCTTGAGAGATTTTAAAAAGACTGCATGAACAGTCCATTAATTAAATCTCTTACTGATATATTTGTGGTAAGTTCTCAAATTTAATGCTAATTTAATTTTCCTCTCCTTTCTCTGCCACACTTTCTCTATCTCTTTCATCCACACACACCCACACCAACATCCCTCTATATAAAAGAGACCAATAGCTCTACAGTTCACAATGTTTAACAAAAATACTTTTTCACAGATCATAGTTAAGATTTAACATATTTCTTGTCCTTAAAAGTGTAAAGAAGCATTAAAATTTTTTAAATAAAAACTCATAAAAGGATGTAAATCTTTTCTTTGGAAGTGTTACAAAAGAAATACCATATACCAGCAGTCCCCAACCGTTTTGGCACCAATGACTGGTTTCATGGAAGACTGACTGACTATGGGGGAGGAGGAGTAAGGGTGGATAGTTTAGAGATGATTAAAGTGTATTACATCTATTGTGCACTTTAATTCTATTATTATTACATATTGATGTCTAATGAAATAATTATAAAACTCATCATAATGCAGAATCAGTGGGAGCCCTGAGCTTGTTTGCCTGCAACTAGACACTCCTATCAAGGAGACAGTGACACCCAAAGCATGTTGCTTATGTCCAGTCTACTCCATAATCTCGTTTTCATTGCTGTCACTGCAGAAAACCCTGCTTCACAAAGATAGGATGTTGGAAACGAAAGGAGGCTTTTTAGTGCTTTTGTAGCAATCACAGGATATTCCGCCTTGACTTTAATCCAGAACGTATGGAGATTTGAAATCGTCTCAAACATACTTTTAAGGCCATCATCATTTATGATCTCAAGCAGTTGATCCTCTTCTAGCACAGACAAAGTAGATTCACCTGGCTTTTTCACAAATAGATCATGGATCCATTCCTTCCTGATAAGTAATCATTAAAAGACTTGGATAGTTCTGTAGCTGTGGTGTTGGTTGGCAACAAAAGTGCATATAACATACGCACATGCACATCCTCCTGAAAAATATATTACACAAAAATAAGCATTGTTGCCTTATTATTAGCATCAGTAGATTCGTCAACCTGGATGGCATGCCATGGTGACTCATTAATACTCTAACAATTGTGCCTCAATATCTTCGGCTATTTCATCAACTCATCTAGTTATGGTGCTAGCTGAAAGAGGAACACATGCCACCTTTTGAACTGCAGCCTCTCCTAAAAGTTCATGGCAAATGTCCTCAGCAGCAGGCAGGATCAACTCTTCACCAATGGTAAAGGGCTTCTTAGCTTTAGCAATGCAGTTAGCCATTAAGAATGATGTTCTCAGTGCAGACATGTTTGATGAAGTGGTGGCCTTCAATAATTACTTCTGTTCTTCATGTTCACAGTTTTTTCTTTTGAAAAACTCCAAAGTCTTTTGTTTTTTAATGTAGGGTGCTTGGTCTCCATATGGCAAAGCAATTTTGAAGGTTTCATGGATAGCTGGTCGCCACATATTACACAAAGTGGGCTTGGAGAATGTGAATCACCTATTGCAATGAACCCATAATTTAAGGAGCACTCTTCGTATTTTCTTTTAAATGCAGCTTTCATTTTGTTGGCAGTCTTAGAGCCTTTTGCTGTCTCATCATTGGGTCTTTACCCCTTTTCAAAGAAGCTCTCCAGTGATGTTTGTTTTTTACTCATTGTTGCTAGGGTTAGCCTGTGGCCTTATCAAAACTGTGACTGAGACAAGTGTGCAGTGAGGGAAAGAGACACAATGGAAGTGGTAAATAAAATAATGGGCAGGGCACACATGGACTAAAATAAGTGTCAGATTCCGACTTTAAGCCTGTCACCAGATGCAACTGTACAATTGAAATACATCAACTCACTTGCCACTATAAAGCCTGCCACCATATGCAGCTTAATTGTCACTTGTCACTCATTGATAGGATTTTGATATAAGTCTGCAAGCAATTGATTTATCATGGTATCTGTGCAGTCAAACCTCTCAGCTAATGATAACCTGTATTTGCAGCTGCTCCCCAGTGCTAGCATCACCACCTCAGCTCCACCAGATCATCAGGCATTAGATTCTCCCAAGGAGCATGAACCTAGATTCCTTGCACCCACAGTTCTCAGGAGGGTTCGAGCTCTATGAGAATCTAATGAGGCCATTGATCTGACAGGAGGTGGAACTCAGGCAGTGATGTGAACAATGGGGAGTGGCTGTAAATACAGATGAGGCTTAGCTCATTCTCCCACTGCCCACTTTCTGCTGTGCGGGCTACTTCCACAGACAGGCCGGTACTGGTCTGGAGCCCAGTGGTGAGGCATAAGGTGTAGCCATATACCATACCAAAACTATAGTGAAATGTATAGTTATTCCCTAATAAAAATTAAATCCACTTAAAGCAAATTACTAATTTTCTTTTTGTGATATAGCCACCTTTATTTTAATTATCTTAATAAACAGACAAAAATAAAATGTTTCTTACCTAATGTTTCAATATTTTTAAGCTTCTCTTCAGATTTATCATTACTTGACCTTGCAAAGTCCTCATACATATTACTTTCCTGGAAGCAAAAAAAAAAAAGGGGGGGGGGAATATATTGCAGAAAATGTTTAAAGATTGCCAACATTTTTCTCTGCCATCATAACTTCTTTAAATACAATATACCTTTCCTCCTCAAACTGGCAGAAGACAAGAAAGAGATTGGTTTGTTGAGAAAAACAATCCAGGCCCGATGCGGTGGCTCACGCCTGTAATCCTAGCACTCTGGGAGGCCGAGGCGGGCGGATCGCTCAAGGTCAGGAGTTCGAAACCAGCCTGAGCAAGAGCGAGACCCCATCTCTCTCTATAAAAGAAAGAAATTAATTGGCCAATTAATATATATAGAAAAAATTAGCTGGGCATGGTGGCGCATGCCTATAGTCCCAGCTACCTGGGAGGCTGAGGCAGCAGGATTGCTTGAGCCCAGGAGTTTGAGGTTGCTGTGAGCTAGGCTGATGCCACGGTGCTCACTCTAGCCTGGGCAACAAAGCACAACTCTGTCTCAAAAAAAAAAAAAAAAAAGAAAAGAAAAACAATCACTATTTTAAGGAGTAGTATACCCTAGCCAGGAGCTGATGTTCCAGGGAAAGGATATCCAAGAATGGCCAGAGTATCTGAATGATGAGTATGTAAGAGAGAAATATTATAAGATAAATTACATAATATTGTAATTTCAGGGGGTATACTTCTAGGAAACAGATTAATTTTTAATTGAAATACATTATGGGAGTGAAAAGGTGTGAAGTGGGGGAGGGGATGTGGAGACAGCAGCAGTGGTGCTGACAATGAGCTTCATGGAGGCTTTTTTGGTCCAATTCGTGAGATCGATATTGGCCTTAATGATAGAGAAACCAGGAAAATGGAAGAAATGAAAACTGAAGATGGCAAAGTTGAAAAACACTATCTCTTCTATGATAGAGAATCTGTTTCAGGGAAAGGAAAACTAAACTTTAAGCAACTTGGAAAGAGGCTAAGAACACCAATAAATTAGAATAGAATATGTAGGTCAAATTGAACTTTTCAATGACAAGAGTAATGCTCATGAATTTTTAAACCTAGTAAAAGAACTAGTCCTACATGGAGAACTGACTCAGAGCAGAAGTTATGATTTTGAATTTATGCAAGTTGCAAAGCCATATGAATCTTACATTGGTGCCAATGTTCACTTGAGATATTTAAAGTGACAACAGTAAGAAGACTGACAGACTTGGTTAAAAGAATATGATCTTATTGTTCACCAGCTTGCCACCTATCCTGATGTTAACAACTCTATTAAGATGGAAGTAGGCTGGGCGCGGTGGCTCATGCCTGTAATCCCAGCACTCTGGGAGGCCAAGGTGGGTGGATTGCTCAAGATCAGGAGTTTGAAACCAGCCTGAGCAAGAGTGAGACCCCATCTCTACTAAAAACAGAAATTAATTGGACAACTAAATATATATAGAAAAAATTAGCTGGGCATGGTGGCACATGCCTATAGTCCCAGCTACTCGGGAGGCTGAGGCAGGAGGATTGCTTGAACCCAGGAGTTTGAGGTTGCTGTGAGCTAGGCTGACGCCACGGCGTTCTAGCCCGGGCAACAGAGTGAGACTCTGTCTAAAAAAAAAAAAAAAATATTATTTTATGATATAACGAAATGTTCTTCACATATATACATTTTTTAAAAGTGCTTCTTTTGAAACACTGGAACTTTCTTAAGCTTTTTTTTTTACTGCACACTTTGATTTGATGATAAACACTCAGATATGCATCAGCATAAACATTAAACAACTCAGTGAATATACTAAAGACCACTGAGTTGTACAATTTAAATGGGTCAATTGTGTGTTATTATATCTTAATAAAGCTGTTAAAAAATTAAACCTTACGAATTATCAATATGTACTGAATGGTACATTATCAAAATAGGAAAGTGCATGAACCATGAATAGTGTTTTATATATCAAGAACAAAAAGTAATTATCTGATCACCACTCTTAATTATCATAATATCTTTCTTAATAAAAAGTATTAAAAGCCTTATATAGGAGAATTATTAAGTCGATTACCTTAGAATCTGTACGTCCCAATTTTGGGGTAAGAATGCTTTCTAAATAGCCAGCTTTTTCTATCCATGTATTCAGATTTCTATATTCTTTTTTCATCTTTGCTAATCTAAAGAAAGAAATCAATTATGGATGAAAAAAGCATTCACTGACAGAAGAATATATATATATAATTCATAGTATATTTATATATTATTTCACAGAAGAATACATATAGTATGATCCATTTATAAAAAGTTCTAAAAGAGACAAACCAATAATATATTATCTAGGGATACAGTCAAAGAAAAATGAATGATTACGACAAAAATCAAGGTAGTAGTTACCCAGGGACAGTTAGGGAGAGGGGTGTAATCTCACAAGAGTACACAAAACACACTACTGATATTAATGGTGTTGTATTTCTTAATGTGAATCATAAATATGTAGGCAGTGGCCTTCTTATTACTTAAGCTATATATATATATATATATATATGTTTTAGAAATTATTCAATTACTCTTGGTATTTAAAATATATGTCTAGTCAATTTGGGCTGCTATAACAGATTACTATAGACTGGGTGACTGAAACAACAGACATTTACTTGTCACAGTTCTGGAGGCTGAGAAGTCCAAGCTCAAGATGCTAGCAGATACAGTGTCTGCTGAGATTGGTCTTCCTGGTTTTCAGAACTCCTTCTTCTCATAACCTCATGCAGTAGAGACAGATGAATTCTTTGTCTCTTCCTCTTTTCATAAGGGCATTAATCCCATCATGAGGGTCCTACCCTCAAGACCTAATCTAGCCCTAATTATCTCCCAAAGGCCCCACACCTCCAAATACCATCACACTGGGGATTAGGGTGTTAACATATAAATTTGGAGGGGGTGGGTGGGGGACATAAATGTTCAGTCCATAGCACTGTATGTAAATATTTCATAAATTATTCAATATATGTATGCTATCTTCCACAATAAAAAGTGGGAAAAAAGAATTTATCTCCTAATCCAAGAAACTCCAAAACGCTTGAATAACCTAAAAATATAATTAATAAGGATTAAATCAAAAAAAGGGGATGTTTCTCAATTCATTTCATGAGAACATAATGAAACAGAAAACCTCTACAAATAAGCAATGAGACTGAATCAGTAAAAAAAGACTCCCAACAAAGAAAAGTCCAGAATCCATTGAATTCTAGTGAACCTTTAAAGAAGAATTAATACCAATTCCTCTCAAAATATTCCAAAACATGGACTCGTACAGGATTCTTCCTAATTTATTCTATGAGGCCAGCATAACCCTAATACCAAAACCAAACAAGCATACAACAAAACAAGAAAATTACGGTCCAATATCCCTGATGAACATAGATGCAAAAATCCTCAACAAAATACTAGCAAACTGAATCCAATAACACATCAAAAAGATAATCCCATGATCAAGTGGGATTTATCCCAGGAATGCAAGGATGATTCAACATATACAAATCAATAAACATCATATATTAAACCAATATAATAAAGGCTAAAAATCATATGATCGTATTGTAAGAAAAGCTTTTGATAAAATCCAACATCCTTTCATGGTAAAAATCCTTAATAAATTAGGTATAGAAGGAAAGTACCTCAACACCATGAAGGCCATATATGACAAACCTACAATTAACATACTGAATGGTGAAAAGCTGAAAGCTTTTCCTCTAAGAACTGGAACAAGACAAGAATGCCCACTCTCACCATTCTTATTCAACATAGTACTAGAAGTCCTAGCCAGAGCAATGAGGCAAGATAAAGAAATAAAAGACATCCAGATTGGAAAGAAGTAGTCAAATTGTCCTTATTTGCAGATGATAGGATCTTATATGTAGAAAAACCTAAAGTCTCTACTAAAAATCTCTTAGAACTGATAAATGAATTCAGTAAAGTTACAGGATACAAAGTTAATATACAAAAATCAATGATGTTTTTATACACAATGAGCTATCTGAAAAAGAAATCAAGAAGGCAATCCCATTAACTATAGCTACCCGCAAAATACCTGGGAATAAATTTAACCAAAGTGGTGAAAGGCCTCTACAAATAAAAGTATAAAACACAGATGAAAAAAATTGAGGGGGCCACAAACAAATGGAAAGACATCTCATGCTCATGGATCATAAGAATTAATATTGTTAAACTGACAATACTACCCAAAGCAATCTACAGATTCAATGTAATCCCTATCAAAATACAATTCTTCACAGAAATAGAAATAGAAATTCTTCACAGAAATAGAAAAAATAATCCTAAAATTTGTATGGAACTACAAAAGACTCCAAATAGCCAAAGAAATCCAGAGCAAAATGATCAATCACAACCAGACCTCAAAATATACTACAAAGTTAGTAATCAAAGCAACATTGTACTGGCTTAAAAATGGATAAATAAACCAATGAAACAGAATAGAGAACATAGAAATTAATCCACATATCTACAGCCAACATATTTTTTTACAAAAGTACCAAGAACATTCATTGGGAGAAGGACAGTTTCTTTAATAAATGGTGCTGGGCAAAGGATCTCCATATGCATAAGAATGAACCTAGACCCCTACTCTCGCCCTATACAAAAATCAACTCAAAATGGATCAAAGACCTGAATATAAGACCAGAAACAATAAACTTAATATATGAAAACATAGGGGAAACACTTAAGGACATCCGTCTTGGAAAAGATTTTTTGAATAGTATCTCAAAAGCACAGGCAACAAGAGCAAAAATAAACAAATGGGATTATATCTAACTAAAAGCTTCTGCACAGCAAAGAAAACAACAGAGTTAAAAGACAACCTACAGAATCCAAGGAAATATTTGCAAACTACTTGTCTGACAAGGGATTAATTATCCAGAATATACAAGAAATTCAAATATCTCAACAGTAAGAAAATAAACAATCTGATTTAAAAATGGGCAAAGTATCTGAATAGATGTTTTTCAAAAGAAGACATACAAACGGCCAACAAACGTGAACAAATGCTCAATATCACAATCATCAGGGAAATGCAAATCAAAACCACAATGAGGTATCATCTCACCACAGTTAGGATGGCTATTATTAAAAAGACAAAAAATAACAAATACTGAGGAGGATGCAGAGAAAAGGAAAATCTTACACACTGTGGATGGGAATGTAAACTAGTTTGGCCACTATGGAGAATGGTATGGAGGTCCCTCTAAAACCTACCACATGATCCAGCAATCCTACTATTGTGCATTTATCCAAAGGAAATGAAATCAGTATATCAATGAGTCATCTGCACCCTCATTTTTATGGCAGCACTATTCACAATAGCCAAAATGTGTAATCCACCTAGATGTTCAACAATAGATGATGGATAAAGAAGATGGCTGGACACTTTTTGGACAGCCTTCCTATATACATAATGTAATACTATTCAACCATAAAAAAGAATGGAATTCTGTCATTAATGGCAATATGGATGGAACTAGAGGACATTAAGTGAAATAAAAAGCTAACACTTCATGGTCTCACTTACATGCAGAAGCTAAAAATGTTGATCTCGCAAAACTAAAAAGTAGAACAGAGGATATTAGATGCTGGGAAAGATAAAAAGGAAGGAAAGATATAAGGATATAAATGATAAAAGGATATAAAAAGATAAAATTACAGGTATTCATAATTTATTAAAAATTTGTTAGTATTTTGTTAATATTGACATTACTATTTGTTAGTATTTTTATTATTGAGATACTAGGGGAAATCAGATGGCTAGGAGTATAGCTAATAAAAAAGAAATAAGTTCTAGTATTCTATACCAGTGTAGGATGACTATAGTTAACAATAATATATTATATAGTTTCAAATAGCCAGGAGGACACTGAATGTTCCCAACACAAACAAATGATAAATGTTTGAGGTTAAGGATATGGTAATTACCCTCATCTCATCATTATACATTATATGTATCAAAACATCACTATGTAATATATACAATTATTATTTGTCAATTTAAAATTTTTTTACTGCACTCGAATATTTATAGCAGCACAATTCACAATTGCAAAGATGTGGAAACAACCCAAGTGCCCATCAATACATGAGCGGATTAATAAAATGTGGTATATGTATACCATGGAGTACTATTCAGCTATACGAAACAACGGTGATATAGCATCTCTTGTATATTCCTGGATAGAGCTAGAACCCATTCTATTAAGTGAAGTATCCCAAGAATGGAAAAATAAGCACCACATGTACTCACCAGGTATTAACCAATCAACACGTAAGTGGACATATAGGAATAACATCTATTGGGTGTCTGGCAGGTGGGGCGGGGAGGGAAGGGGTATATACATACATAATGAATGTGATGCGCACCAACTGGGGGATGGACACGCTTGAAGCTCTGACTCAAGGGGGGAGGGGGGGCAAGGGAAATATATGTAACCTTAACATTTCTACTCCCATAATATGCTGGAAAAAATTAAAAAAGCAAAATAAATAAATAAAAACATAGATTCAGGCCCCCCCAAAAAACAAATTTTTTAATTAAAATAAAAAATAAATATTACTCCTACAGATATTCCTCAAATGACTATGTCATTTTACCTAAAACTCTCAGCTCTGTCCATAACTATCTTAGTCTTCATTACAAGCATTAGAACTTAACCGAACAACCCACAATTTCTAATTTGGATTCTGCTCATACATATAAAAATTTTCCAACCTCCTAGGTTTCTTCCCAACAACTATTCACCTTTTGTCATCATATGTATAACTTTCTACAAGCTAAAATGCAGCATCACTTTTGGTAGATTTAACCTGACTACAAAAATTAACTCCAGAAAATATTTCTCACCTCCAATAACAGCCTCAATTAAGCTATTTCTAACAACAACAACAACAACAACAAAAACCCTAATTAATTTATACTCTTTTCTTTCCTCTTTTCATTTCCTTTTTTTTTTTTTATTTCGGCATATTATGGGGGTACAGATTTTAAGGTTTCAATAAATGCCCTTTCACCCCCTCCCCCCACAAGTCTGAGTTTGCAGCATGACCATCTCACAGATGGTGCACATCTCACTCGTTATATATGTATATACCCACCCTCCCTCCCCCCTGCCCG